AAGATGAGAACTGGCGACTTGGTAGTACAACTTTAGTACGCGGAGTATCTGTGGAGTGGGAAGATGAGAACTGGTGACTTGGTAGTACAACATTAGTACGCGGAGTATCCGGGGAGCTGGAAGATGAGAACTGGCAACTTGGTAGTAGAACTTTAGTACACGGAGCAATCTGTGGAGCTGGAAGATGAGAACTGGCGACTTTGTAGTACAACTTTACTACGCGGAGGCGACTTTCGAGAGGTGAAGAACTTGCAGAAAACAGGTGTTCCTGCGCTTCAGAAAGAGATACAGAGAGAGACACATACACACACACAGAGACCCACACACTGCCTCAACACACTCGACTTAACACTTCACACTGAACACTTATAACACACTTAACAGATAACTCGCACTCTGACTTCCTACGTGATGAAAAATGCTTTCGGGCCACTCGTCGTCTAGTATCTCCGAGCACCCCCCACCCCCCCGCAGTGCCGACTGCACGCCCACCCTGGACGAATTACACGGCTCAAAGATTCACGCCAAGGTGCCGAATTACACAATTGAGACCAAGTTGTTTGAACGACTCTTCAAGAAGAAGAAACTGATCTTCCTAGGCCCTGAGAGACGGCCACTTGGAGATGCGGTTGATGGCGTAACCATGGCGGTTTAGTGGATTGAAGCACATAGGATTCTTACCTTCTATGACTATATTTGATTTTATCAAGAATGCGGGCGTTCTGTTCAGAGCTTGACGCGTACCAAGTGTCAGCCAAGATATTCTCAACTCAAATACGGCTTTCAGCCAAGGTCCCCCCTGAAGTGGATGCTTCAAACTCGCCATTCCTCCAAAGATGGACGACCCCGAACCCCTCCCCAGCACTCTACCTGAGGTATGTCTATCGGAGTCCTCCAGAATTGCGGCCATCCCTGCGAAACAAGCAGAGGATGGGAGGGGGAAACCCACTCCGTCGCCACCGTGACGCCTCGCGTGTGACGCCTCGCGTGTGACGCCTCGCGTGTGACGCCTCGCGTGTGACGCCTCGCGTGTGACGCCTCGCGTGTGACGCCTCGC